CATTACTAAACATTTTTTAAGGGTGCCTTTGTTGTTATTTTGAAGATATGGGTAAAGGGATACCATATAAATGCTGCAAGGGAGACTATTTGATGACGAAAAAGAACTTTTACATATTTTCATTCTTTACATATACAGTATATATTGCAGACTTTTTACGTAGCCACCTTGACACAATTATTTTCAGTTGTGTCAGTTTGTGTCAATGTGGGCACCTAAAAAGTCCGCAATATATATGTAAGTAGGCATAATCATTTGGAAGTGTCCCTGGAAAAATATAATTGATTGTATATCTTACAGCTAAACAACAATACTTTATTTTCTTCTTGCATAGAAGAAAGAATGGCTGGATACAGGGCTGTATTTAAAGATCATGTTTAGATAGGCACATCTGAATTCTGACACCCTTTTGTACAAGCTTGTGTCACGAGATTGTTTCAATAAAATCTGTGCTAAAATCTTTTCTTGGAGGCAGCATGATTTTTTATTCTACAGACCAAACAAGAGAAAAGAGAGATGGTTTATTGCATCCTGAACTGTATGAAGTCTTCTAAACATCCCCTGCACCCTTTTCCTTACAGTTCTCTTCCTGAATTTAGCCACAAATGTCCAGATGGACAGCAGGGGCAACAAAATAATATGCAGAGCTGCACACCAATTCCAATCTCACATACAAAACATTAATAGCTAAGTGGCAGAGGCCTTCAATCAATCTTGTCCTCTGACATGTTTCCACCTGTGACATTTTTAGCCCCTGGACAAGTAGTCTCTGCATGGATCCAGAGTGTGGCTTGGTGCTTCTGAGAACTGACGTGGATCACAGGAATAAAAATGTTGAGCCATGGTGCAACCACCTTTAATCCTGCTGCCATAGGCTCTGGCCCTTGTGTGTCATTATGGTAAATAACATCCCTGTCTGTATAGTAGACTTACACATGACATTTCTTATACCTGAATCACTTTTCAATTAAAACATTTTCTTCTGCATAATTCTTTATCACTGCCAAAGGAAGTATTAATATTTCTATATATTTGGTATACCTTAGTGGCATATTTTTCTGTCAACATTGAAAACTGCATCTCACATATTTGAAATATCTACAATTATAGGGAAATCGCTCAGGGTCAGATATGAATATTTTAATGACCATTCTAGTCTATTCACATACATGCACATTTGTCCTTGAAGCACTTTCCTTAGTTTGGAGAGCTTTCTCCCTGTTGAAGAGGATTTTTCACTTGACAGCTTGTCTTAACCACAGAGGCTGAACTTGCACCGTTTGATCCACAACCCACTGAGAATTAGTGAGACAGGAAGATCAAAGCAACTCAGTGGGGAGGAAAATGCCTAGCAGCATAATTTCCTTTTCATGTATCCCACAATGGTCAGTCCGGTAAATTGTACTAAAGAAGTTTGGCTAATTAGTTCTGCAATTACCGTGTTTTCAAATTGCAATATGTATATATTTATATATATTTTGTATTAAAAATTAACACAGGAAGAAAGGTCACCTTTGGGGTGGTTGTAAGTGCTGACCCAGCAGACCAAGGGAATTAAATAGATGTGGGGCCCTTCAAAGGATTCTACTGTACCTTTAATGGTCAATCCAGCTCAGGAATGGGGTCAGATGGTCAAAATTCTTGGCACTTGGAGCAAACTCAAACTCAATAATTATTAATGAGGGATTTATGTTACTGAATACTAACAACACACGTTTAGTTACCATGCCCCCTTGTCGGTTACCATGCCCCCCTTTGTGTATATTGTCTTTTTCTCAAGCCCTCTAATGTGTCCTATCATGTTCTAACAGAAAAACCAAATTGTTTGTGTAATTTTCTAATTGAAAGTGAAATGTGTCTCTCTATTAAGCTAGTCACAGGCATTCAATAGTGGCTAAAGCTGACCATAAACAAGCAGAAAATCACCATAAGAATGATGGATAGTGGGATACCTACCAATCCACTCATGAAATTAAGAAACACCATGACACAACATGATCCTTACCTGATCTGGACAATGGTGCACACACATTATATTGGATTTTTCAGTCTTCCTAATACGGTACAGAGTGAGTCCAGATTCACATGTCAGAATCTCCTAAAAGGTTATATTTAATTTGTTTTTAACAGACTGTGTGTGAGGGTGGGGGTTAGATTCTGCCCAACAAGGCCACAATGAAGAATGGGGTGCTGTTTTTCAGTAAATCAGCATATGGCAACCTAGTATCAGTTCATTCAGTTCCAACCTGTGGGGTGATTCATGGAGGAAAATGGATCCAGTGCAATCTCACATGCTCTCCATCACTATTACTCATCCTTCCTGCAGCTCTCAGCTATTACAGATCAATATTTTACTTGGGGGGATCAGTAAACTGTAAGGTAGCAGAAACAAATAGAGCATAACTCCAAGATGGAATATTGAACTCATTTTAACTTATTTTAATGAACGAACTGACAGGATATGTACAGGTAAACTATCTAGTAAAAAAAATAAAACAACTGGTTCTCTTGTTAGTTCTAGTTATATAATAAAATACAATCCACCATTAGGGGTCACTGTGTGTCCCAGTACTGCAGAGTTGTTAGCAGGAATGTAAAGTACAGTGTTAGGTATTCAGCCATGATTTAACCCCCTGCCATTGGCTATACCTAAAGTGAGCAACATTTTTGCCTGCCTATGGACCCGGCCTTTTTTTCCGAACTGATCATTTTCAAGGATAATTCTCTTATAGGTTTTAATCCTTTTTATATATCTTGCTATGTTGTACTTTTATTTGCAATCTAATGTGGCATATCATGTGCCTTGATTGCTCATCTTATTTAAATGGTCATGTGGATTTTGATTAAATATATAACAAGAATTCGCATATGCTGCTCCAAAAGAACATGTTAAATCAAAACTACTTAAGCAAATGAAGACTTATATCATGCTGCTATGAGTGATTTTACAAGTGCATGTCCCATGAATACCTCTAAGAAAGAGATTACCCCAATTAATTCTAGAATGCACAATGGTCATTTTGTCTCTCCTCTGGTTAATGTCTCTCCTAGTTCCCCCACATGGTGGAGCACCACTTAAAGGACTCAGGAACTGTGGTGGGATGCGAGTGAAAATGGTTGGATCCTTTTTTTTGTCCATGACATCACCTGTATGCAGTTAAATAGTTTATTTTGAGCCGTTTGTATCTTCTCTCTTATGCCAACTGTTGGGGGAAAACCACCTTCCAAAACAACCAAGATTTGAATACTTATTTAATATTCCTGCCTTCATCTGGTTAATTGATGTGTCTACATTCTATATTTTGCCATTACAGGTGTAGAGGCTTTGGTTGCCTACCTTGTTGATGTGCTGAGCCATGCAGTAAACTCACAGCCACCTATAACTCCTTATGACAAAAATTCTAAGGTCTAACATATTTTCATTAATTATATCACACTTAAATAAAAAAGAATCTGCACCATATAAATCAAAAGAGTTTTTTTTTTATTATATGAAAGAAGGCCTCTGCCTAAAGTAAGGAAGGAGTATAGGGAAGCCTTGCTACAATATCCATTTTACACTTGCACCTCTGGTGTTTAAACCCACATGATGATTAGCTCAGTGACCTGTCTTAGTGAGACAGTTTATTCAACCAATAACATCAACAGGTGGATACTAATTTCTTTTAGGCAGCAGCAAAGCAAACAATGAGCGAAAGTGATCACTGGATGGGCTAAAATGTACTTTGCTACTCTAGCATTTAAAAGGCAAGTATAATTTAACACACGACTTCCCAATCACCAATTTCATGGCACAGACTTCCCAATCACCAATTGTATGGGGTCCTTTGACAACAAAACTAGCATTTACTTTACCTCCCATAGTTTATGTTTCTTTACCTTGAAATATAAAGGTCTCCTTTAGTTTTTTTCTTTTTTTGCATGTACAGAGTACAAAAGAAAGCAAAAAACAGCTATATACAGTATGTAGCAAAAGGACAAATTGTAGTAAGCTTTGTACACATACTGTACATTCCTATTTCCCTGGGATAACACATCATTATATTTAGATGTATTTTAAAGCAATGCTAAAATATTATTTACAATATCTGTCACCTATATTTTGATTCTCTGTAGACACATACCTGATCATCAAAGCTGTATGGCTTTAGCTATAATTAATGATTAAATAGAATAACCTAAATCATATCTAATTACTAAATCAAATAATTGATACATTTAGTAAATAGAATGATCAAATACTGGTCTACCCAGATTTTCAATCATGGGATATATTGGTATGAACTAACTTATTCAGAATAGCAAAGCAATACGATTTCCGGATTTCTGCTACACGGAATTACGGACACTTGGGGGTTGATTTACTAACCTTATAAACATGCCACGAACAAGTATACACCTCTGTAGTGTGTTCCCTCCCAGCATGATCTATTGGTGGAATCTAGACACCTTTGTAGTGTGTACACACCCAGCAGGTGTGTTGTGCAAAGCCCTGCATGAATTGCAAGGTGATGTTGTGTAAATTAGCTCTACCTTGTGTTGCTTGCGTTGATGAATGCAGGAATGTAAATGCATGAGCTAACCATTTTTGTCTAAACTGTGAAGCAGCATTATATATGCATCATGTGCATGATTTTTCCATATATGGCATTAGTGGAAATATGCTTTTAGAGACTTGCATGCCGCTATTAGAGCGGCGTGTAGCCTATGGCGCATGCTACATGACGCGCACATACATAAATACATAAAAACGCGCCATAACGGCGTGAAAATGTGACACGTTGCTCGTGTTTGGTTGATAAATACGTTTTGCTGTGTAAAAATGCACACGCACCTGGTGCGTGTGTGTGTTTAGGTTAGTAAATCACCCCCTTGGAGTGCCACCTTTTGGCATCTCGCATAATCACAGTAACCATAGATAGCCTGAAACCTCAAAAGACATGTCTCTTGCATCATTCTTGACATAAAAGTTCTTTATAAGGATTGGATTATTTCCCACCTGTTCATTGCTCTTCCCTTATGATAGTGCAGCAGATCCATATGTCTGGTGAGGACAGAGACATGCATGCTTTTGAAATACAAGCATACATATTATTAATAAATACATATTTCCTTTGCTGGGATCACATATACACAATCTAAGAACTGTTTCATGTCCACAGTCAGCCTAAAATAGGAAGAGAAGCATTGTTTACATGTATTTCCTACTTTTAAAAACATACCGTCTTAATTGTGTAGACACTAGCTTCTGTTAACACCAATATACATGTATACATAACTCACAACAGTTTATTTTTTTTATTTTGAAAGAATGTTAATTTATGAAAAAATAAGAAACAATGACAGGATTCCATATTACACATTTTTTTCTCATATACGTACTAATACTCTTTAGGTAGATTCTTTTTGTCTAGAAGCTATTTCATCACATAAGCTCTAGTTTCCAGAAAAGAGTGGCAACTTTGTAGTGGTTAATATGCAAGCGAAAATGCTGAATACCGCCACACAAGATATAAGAAGCTGTACTGTAATTTTTAAATCCCATAAGCATTTGAGAGGCCTTAAAATGTACTTGTGGCCTACTCAAAATAGTGGCGGCAATTCTGCTTTACAAATATTCAAGAGAATGTAGCCAATTATTATGACAGGAAATGGTAAAACTGCATTATCACTACTGTTTTTTGCAATCAAATAGGCTTCATTCTCAAACAAAATGCCTACCACTACTTTGTATAGGAGACAGATGCACTTTAAACACATCGCTCAGCATTGTGGTAAAAAAAAGACCTCACCAATGCCATCAAGGATAACATTGTTAAAACTAACAATATTAAAATACCATCTTTTGTCACATTTAAAGGCAGTTGGATATGTTTACTTTATATTTACATATACAGAGATCTCATCTAGAAAATCATTACAATAAACCATTTTATGTTTTAAAAACAGGCAGTCTTTGGTGACGCAAAGGCATAGAGTGTCTTTTCTTTTTTTTGTTACCTCCTGCCTACTTCACTCTGTCTCATGAAGTGAATGTTGTTGGCACTATCAGAAAGTTCTAGATACTGATCCACTGAATGAACAAAATATCCGTCATAGCCTTGAACCTTCCCTGTGCTTAAAAGCTGCTGTTTCTCTGCTTCTGTCCACAATCTTATTCCTTCCTCCCCTTCCTGAAGCCGCTTCTGCTCCTTAGTCCAAGCCTGAACCACTGCTCTTTGTCTGGCCAATTCCAGGACATGATCCTCCTCTTCTTCAATGGTTGTTCCATAGCGGACATTAAAAGACAATGTGCCATGCTGAAGCTGTATATCAGCAAATCGTCTAGTTCTTCCATTGACCATTGACGTCATTTGAGACACAGTGACATTTACTCCATTTTCCAGAATGCGACCACTGCCACTGTTCCCAATGACAGACAAGTCTTCTTCTAGAGAACCCAACTTAATGAAGTAATGAGTATCCCGGCCTTCAATTGTAAAATGCAAGTTCTCTAGGTAATGGGCATTATTTAAGATGGCAGCAATGCGGCGGCTGTCTTCGTTAGCCACTCCTATGACATCAGCGGTCACTACTCCATCTTTAATGGCAAACTTGATACCTTTTCCAAATAAAGATGGAACAGCAGCAAATCTGGGGTATTTCCTAGTTCCATGGTACTTCTTTCTATTTTGTTTTGGAGCCATTGGTAGTTGGTCTAAAGAAATGAAGTTTCTCAGCTGCTTTTGTAGCTCACACTGGATACCGAGGATTGTCTATAATATAAAAAATATTATTTATAGATTCAGCTACACATGCTGTGTATCAATAACTAATTGAATTTGCAACTGATATTTTGGTTTCTGAGATTTGGAGTTATATTTATCATCTACAGTAATATATTATTTAAATATTTTAGAACATTTTAGAGAGCTATTTTTATTGCAGTAAGAATGGAAGCTGCAAAATACATCCATCTTTGTGTCAGAATGACACCAAGCATTATGTCATAGAGGCATGGTTTGAATGTGACAGATGTGTTATAAGTACCACCCATGGAATCTGGGCTATATGGGATAACTAGGATATAATGGATACACTGCATAATGCAAAATCCTCACTCTAATAGCAGTGACAGTTGTACTGAGCGAAAATATGTATGCTGTCTCTGATTTTAAAACTCTGGTAGAACAAGCATTCCAGCATTCACCAACTCAAGTCAGAACTCCTTTTATGAAATTGTGCCCTGAGACAGTGGGGTTGATTTACTAACCTTATAAACACGCCACGAACAAGTATACACCTCTGTAATGTGTTCCCTCCCAGCATGATCTATTGGTGGAATATAGACACCTTTGTAGTGTGTACACACCCAGCAGGTGTGTTGTGCAAAGCCCTGCATGAATTGCAAGGTGATGTTGTGTAAATTAGCTCTACATTGTGTTGCTTGCGTTGATGAATGCAGGAATGTAAATGCATGAGCTAACCATTTTTGTCTAAACTGTGAAGCAGCATTATATATGCATCATGTGCATGATGTTTCCATATATGGCATTAGTGGAAATATGCTTTTAGAGACTTTTTGGTTGATAAATACGTTTTACTGTGTAAAAATCACACGCACCTAGTGTGTGCGTGTGTTTAGGTTAGTAAATCACCTCCAGTGACTCAGAAAGTACTGAAGTCATTGGATTACCATTACAGTGGATGAAATAGAAGATAATGTTTGGCTGTGTTGCAGTGTTTATAAGATAAGAATGCACTGATAGGAGGAAAGAGCTGAGTGACAGAGAGATGTCTACTGGTCTCCTTCCCTGGTTGGGGAACGATCAAGACCTGTAACTGTTATTTGACTGCAGCAGAAAAACAAATCCTTTGGCAGCAAAAACAGCTCCCTTATATGTATTTAATCTGTGTATTAAGCCGTTTGGTGTTCAGCTTTAAACAATAGTTTGTGCTAAAGCTGTGTAGGTTTTAGCTGATTTGGAGTTTTAGGAAACAATAGATTAAAAATACACATAGATATTGCCTACCTTTCCAGGATCCCATTCCTGAGTTTTAGTTTGAAGTTGCATTAACTCATAAGATGATTCAAAGCCCTTTTTCTCTGGTTTTGGGAATCCGGGCAGCACATTGTGCAGTTGAAAACCAAACAGCTCCAGCCAACTTCCAATGTCTAAAAAAAAACCACACTACACATTTAATTGACTATCAATTTTAAACTATATTTATTTTATTTTATATCATGACTACATCAAACTTCTCTTGAATAGATCTAGATATAATTACTTTTGCTAATTTCTATGGCTTTTGCCTTGAAAGGCATGAACTGCATACCTCTTGTGATTCTAGATTGATCCATTTACTACGGATATTTTTAATGTGTTAAACACAACGTGTGATGGTTATGGTTGATTATTATCTTATGAATAGGAGACACACATAATCCTGCTAATGAAATAAATGCAATCTGCTATCTTCTGGGCTGAGCCTATGATCAAATGAATACAGCTTAAAAATTAATCAACATTTTTGTGATCTATAGTTATAACACTCTGACAACCAGCAGTACCACAGATATAAAAATCCTACCAATTGAAGTAGAAGTGAGCTGCTGGACCCATTGATTATCAGTTCATATGAAAAAAGGGTCTTAAACAAGGCCTACATTTGCCCGAGTTTGGCAGGTCTCCACAAGGCCCTCCCATCAAAGAGGTCACCCAGCTTGAGAAATCCATAGGTAATCAAATCAGAAACAAACGTCTCAGGAGTCCAAAACTGTATTTTATTAATTAATATATAATCACAAAGACACAGATAGCAGACAACGCATTTCAGAGGCCAAACAAACCCCATTATCAGGGCTAAAGGGAAACGAAAATGTACTGTATAAGTGGAATGCAAATATAATATTAAGAAATATGCAAATAAAATATATTGATATGTAAATAAAATGTTTTAGTATGATTGGGGGATGAAGGGGGATTGTTTGGCGCCAGAAATGTGTTGGCTGCTTCCTGTTGTCTTTGTGATACACATAGATTACAATATTAAGCTACAGTTTTGGACTCCAGAGACATTTTTTTGGTGGTCTTTTCTGATTTTATTATCCATAAAAATCCTATAATTCTTTTTTAAAACAGTTGCATTATTCAATTTCCGTAAAAATTCACTGACTGTGTAAATTTAATACCTAAAACTCTACCAAATATTAGCAGATGTGCTATGTATTGCAGGTATGCTAGCAGTACCCTGTTTCACCAAACACAGGTTTCCTCACTTTTTGTTGTGCTTCACTTAGTATCAGTCATGCTTATAGATGCTGTAATATATTACTGCACAGATACAGTCTTTAAGGGTATTACAGGGATTCAGATGAATATTTTTAATATCGTCAGCTCTCTCTCCAGGAGGTTTTGCCATAATGTGCAAAAATGCAGAGCATATTTTCATATTATGGCAAAATTAACTAGCAAATTGATCCTTTCCAGTGCTGGGATGTTAGTTCTCCACTCCAATGCTTTCCCTTTTTCCTTAGTCTTTTTCTGTGTTTGAAGTCATTGGTTTCTTGATTGGCTAGGCCTTCATGTGCTCGCATGCACACAGTAGTTACTTTGTCTTTGCACAGAATCATGCCAAGACTGCACACTGAGCTGCACAGTGTACACCTATAGAAATAAAGTGCTGACAGGCAACTAGAAGTATCTATGACAGAAAACATATACACAGTCTCTTCTTTCATGAAGAGCCCGCCTGTCAGAACTTTAAAAAAAAAATCTTTACTTCCACTTTAAAGTGTATGTAAACCCTAATAAATCCTAACTATAACTTCTCTTATTTTGTCCATTTTGGTCTACTACATATACAATTGAAAGTGTTTGTTATATATTTTCAATAAGTGGAAGAAATACCAGTCAACCCTCCAGAAATTCAGAGAGGTTTTAGGTTTCTGTGCTCTGTGTCTGTAAAATTTGTGCTCAGCCAATGTAAGATACGCTCTGTGAACTACACAAACACCTGCTGCTATGTTATAGAAATGAGAAGAGGGGAAGGTGTTTTTAAATTCAAAACAAACTTCCTGTCCTAGGGTGACAACACTGCTCCTTCACAGATAAAGTACAGTAAATGTGTGTTGTCTGGCAGGATTACCAAGTGAAAATAAAAGGAGAAAAAGGTCAGAAAAAAAGAAAACTACTACTACCACCACCACCACATCTAAGGACTGGTCAGCTGTAACCTATTAAATGTTTGTGCTTGGACACCCATTTAGAGCTAAAAGAACAAGTAGGTGGGCCTCACAAGGCCAGATCAAGTTTTCTTCTGTAATCTGCAGAGATACAGAGTTTACTATGTCCATCACAAATTGTAAGTGCACTGGACAGAGAATGATTTATATGCCAAAATGCAGTATGTTGTAGAAACCATTGCTTTACCTGTAGTATATTGTGCTACATCCTGGGTCTTGCCAACTGGATAGTTGTTTTCAAATGCATACAAGTTAAATGGCCTTGGTTCAATGTTTAATTTATTCCAAATATTGTGATTGGGTGTGGCCCACCGCCCTGCCACAACATCATAATCCCGCTGACCAAGGTGCACTAGTTTAGTCAAGGAGTCATACAGTCCACCATAAAACCCAGTGATAACCTCAAAATCTTGATTAGTGTCCTCATAGATGTCACCGTATGGTGTGTATAAGATTTCTTTTAATATTTGGCCACGACTGCTGAATACTGCAAGAGGGGTTCCTGTGTTGTCACATGCAACATAATACTCCTCGCCACTGCTTAACTCCATAGCGATAAGATGACCTTGAAGATCATAATAGAGTGATGTTATCTCAGAACTAGTGTGATTATAGAGATGGGTAACTCTTATTGGATTGGCTAGATCTGCATAAAAGAACTGCAGATGAGAACCTGTACTTGACTTGCTGGCAACACGTCTTCCAAGTCCATCATAACGGTAGTGTACATTCCAACCAGCAACTTTGTTATAAGCTCGGCTCAGAAGACCATTAGAATTGTACTCGAATATATCATTGCCTCTTTGTCTGAGAAACCCATCTTCATCCATCCTGTACTGAATTTCTCCCAGACGAGTAATGCGATCTCCAATGTCATACCTTAGTGGGGTCAGACGAACAGTATTCCCATGGCTAAGCAAGTTGATGTTTCCATTTAGATCATAGCTGTAACGCCACTGCAGCTTATCATTAACAGATACAGCCTGAAGCTGGGCATCGGGATCATATTCATAAGAATATCTTGTTAAATTGGCATCTACACCTATTCGTATGCCACACATAACCATCCGACCCATGTTATCATACTGAATAGTCATCCAGTAAGCAATAGCCTTTAGGATCTCATATTGAACCTCAATGACTTGTCCACTGGCACTAAAGATTTTAGTATGTTTCATCATTGACGTTGTGATGACTTGGTTGAGATCATAATTGATTACACTGAATTTTCCAAATTGTTCAGTTCTCCCTGAGACATCAACATAACGATATAGGTCTATGGGAAGAGGGATCTCATTTATCATGGCTTGCATACTGGTGACTCGGAAATTGTTATAGCTGTAGTCAAACCGGGCATTAACAAGACCTTCTTCACTGAACCTAAAGATCTGACGTCCAATGAGAGGTCCTGTTAAAAAGATAATATTTAATTAGATTTATAGTAATACAGCGGGATAAAAAAAAAACAAGTTTATAATTTAATAATGATTATGAATAGTCTAAAACAAACAATAATTGGACAGATGAAGTAAATAGTTTTACTAAAATTCCAGCAAAGAGACAGAGCCTGTCTTCTTTTCATAAGGCAGTTAACAAAAGTTAACTGCTTACATTACACGTCTATCTAAAGGTGAGACACGATACTTGTATGTTACATATATATTAGGGATGTTCAGATACCAGTTCAGATACCAGTGCTGGTATCTGAACATTTTCATGAGAACTACCAGGGTTGCAGCGGTTGCAGCTGGGACCTGGCTCTGGTGCCCCATCATTGTCCTGATATCATTAGTCTGTATTGTTTTAGAAAAACTGTTACATGACAATAAACAAAAAATGTATCAGTACTCGTATCTGTAAGTACTTGGACAAGTATCAGTACTTGTACTTGGAAAAATTGTATCTGTGCATCCCTAATATATATTTATAAAAACAAATCATACAATAAAACAGTGATGCACAAATCCCAGGAGCCCGTATGCTCCTTAAAAATTACAGCTGCCTGACGAATTTTTCTCTTGTATAGTCTTGTAGCTGGAAAAGTAACTGTACATGTACTTGTACCGAGAACGGTACCTGATTTCTGAACATCCCTAATAAATATTTTATAATTAAAGGCACTATAAAATTTACATGATTTGGATCGAATTTAACCACAGTTACTACTTCCACCACTGATACCAAAATACCTTCACTAGCCCTCACAGATTCATACTACAGAACATCAAAATTTGGAAATTTGGGTGTCAGACATAGTAAGCAAATACATTAGACGCTTGCTCTAATTGTCTAATTACATAACTGAATATATAGCAATGTAAATGCATTGTAAGCAAATTAAAAGAACAGTCCAAGTGACCTCTTGGTTATATGGTTTATAATACCTGATGTTTGGTTTATAATGTAATTTGTATTGTTATTCTTGAATGTGTACTATTAAAGTCCACCAGGGTTCCAGTGAATCATTTTCTTGTCTAATTTTCTAAGTAGTTAATTTTCGGATGATGTACTCTTCTTTTTTATATTAAGGCAATATACACTATACATTGTATCTTAGAATGGAACACGGAAGATCGATTCTGACTAATTACTGATTGATTACAACTTCTATTAAACAATTTAACTATGTAATACTTAGATTATAGAAAAGTGAATATGTTTGAAATATGTTGTTTTCAACAGTTCACTGAGTTTACTCTTAACAGCCACAATGTGTACTTAGAAGAGAACTAAGGACTAATTGCATCTAAATAACCACTTACAATGGCAACAGTGCAATTTAACAAAAACCCCAATAACCATTTTGAAAAAGCACTTTCTTTCTTTAACAGTCATACACATTTAAATATTTTATAAAATGAGGATCCATTTCTCCTCAGAAGGTCACAGTGGAGAATGGTAGGGGCAGAGATCAACACAGCATGACTAACTGCTGATGAGCAACCCTGTCATAAAATAAAACATTTGCTAAACCAGCATATGTGAAAAATAAAAAAGAGGAATACTTAACTTTCCCTCTGCTAATGCTGCCAGAACACCATTTCATTCAATAGAAATCTTACTCTGAAATCAGCAAGGAAACTGATTTCAATGTCACTGCTGTACCCTATAATGATGTGGAGATCTGTGTGATGAACCAGTGAGAGCTGTGGAGGACCCAGGAGATCAAAACTCCACAAAGTTTTCCTGTGGACCTCAAAGGAAGATTTATATGAAATATATGGGTGTTCTGTAGACTCAGGTAGTAGGAAAGGTAAGGTTTACTTTTCTTATTTTGCTGGTTTGCTTACGTGATAAACTGTTTTATGACCAGGCACAGAGACAGCACATTATTTCAGCAGATGGTTTAAGCAGATCAATCAGTGGAAATATTAACAGACATTTCAGTTTCAAAAACTGAGAAAAAATGTTACAAGGCTACTGTATATTTAGAATGATAAAGAGCTTTACAATTACTTCCTAACATACAGACAGGTTTGTAGGACCAGGGTTTCTTTTAGTCAGTAGATTACAATGATGAGGACTAAATCCTCTAAAATTACTTGTAGGTCCAGCTGCGCACTAAAGCACATAGGCAGGAAGAAAAATTTAATGTAAACACTGTTCAGCACAGAAGAAAGCCTGGCAGTGTATAAGGTGACCACGATGCATCTGATGTATGATTTTTGTATAATATCTAAGGGAAGTGAAAGAACATGTAGAGGTTTTTTATACAAGGGTACATCTGTACTTTACAGTTTACTTTGGGAGCAAGATTGGTGAATGGAAAAAACGACTTCAGTTCTAAGTAAAAGCATGTAGATAAATCATGTCCAGTGGTGGCCTATTTATAAGAAACGGGAGAAAAGCATGGAAATGATTATGTTCAAAAAACAGGTCCAATGTGGCTTATTTAGAAAACCTGAAGAAAAATATGAAGGCATTGTCCATAACAACCAGATTACTTGTTTTAATTTCACCTCCCATGTTCAATGTGATTTACAACTTTCAGCACATAGCAAGTCTAGTAACTATGCAAACATTGCAGGAGAGATTTTTACAAGTGATGCACCATATAATAATGTCAATAATGTCATCATAATGCTATGGTTATTTTGCATACCTGTCTGTCTATATCTAATAGTACAAACAAAGCCCTCATGTATCAGATGAATCGTTTTAATGACTCCAGATGATTCTTCATAGGTGAATGTAACCTGTGTGGTATCATAAAGAATTTCAGAGAGCCTTGTTTGCTTAGTGTATTTGTAGAAGACTCTACGTCCTGTTCCAAGGTGTAATGTCTGTAGAAGGCGTCCATCTCCAGTATAATCTTGAATGAAAGGGCCACTGTTGTCAGGTGGAGTGTAGATATTGCGGTAATAACCAACAGAGAGCATTGTCTGCAGACTATGGCGGACCATGTTGGGCATGGTTACTGAAGCAAGGAAATCTGAATGATCGTATTCAAAAATGTATCGCCTCTGGCTATGCAGAAAAAGGCTTATTGTCTGAAAAAGAACAAAAGAACAACTCATTTTGGCACCATAAGCAACAACATTTATTTAAATTATAGGCATTATAGAAGGAATAATAACCAAAAGGGGACTGCTCTCTTAGCTTTTGTCTAAGTAATTCATTAAACCCATAAATATAATTTTCTTTTATACTAAATCCCATCAACAGAGATACTGCAGATGTGTACATAATGTAATGTTTGAAAAGTTTCGGCCTATAACAAATATGCATTAAAAGGTTTATGTTGAGTTTTTCCTCTAATCGGCTCATAATAATATTTTAATTTCTAAAATATATTTTCTTTAGGGTTCATTTTTAATTGCGCTATAAAGCTGTCCTTCGAAACCATCAACATCATATGCATACGGATTGCCTTTAAAAGAACACTCTAGTCAAAAGGAGAATTAAACATGGAAATGCATATGAGGAAATATGACAAGCTTGACCAAGTTTTTTTTTACATTGCATTCAGACCAAACAGTAGTGTGCCAGGCTACTCCAATGCTTAGACTTTGAGCCCTGGAAACACCCATTTGCCAAATATATGAATGCAGCAGCCATGTATTCTAAGGCAATGTGAGCTTTGGATTTTCCTGAGAGAAAGAAAAAAGTTAACTTTGTACAACCCAGAATCAGGTGACAAAAAGCTGCAGGCCCATCCAGAACCACATACAGGTGAAACTCAAATAATTAGAATATCGTGCAAAAGTTCATTTATTTCACTAATGCAACTTAAAAGGTGAAACTAATATATGAGATAGACTCATTACATGCAAAGCAAGATAGTTCAAGCCGTGATTTGTCATAATTGTGATGATTATGACTTACAGCTCATGAAAACCCTAAATCCACAATCTCAGGAAATTAGAATATTACATGCAATCAATAAAACAAGGATTGTACATAGAACAATATCGGACCTCTGAAAAGTATAAGCATGCATATGTACTCAGTACTTGGTTTGGGCCCCTTTTGCAGCAATTACTGCCTCAATGCGGCGTGGCATGGAAGCTATCAGCCTGTGGCACTGCTGAGGTGTTATGGAAGACCAGGATGCTTCAATAGCGGCCTTCAGCTCTTCTGCATTGTTCGGTCTCATGTCTCTCATCTTTCTCTTGGCAATGCCCCATAGATTCTCTATCAGGCGAGTCAGGCGAGTTTGCTGGCCAATCAAGCACAGTAATCACATGGTCATTGAACCAGGTTTTGGTGCTTTTGGCAGTGTGGGCAGGTGCCAAGTCCTGCTGGAAAATGAAGTCAGCATCCCCATAGAGCTCGTATGCGGAAGGAAGCATGAAGTGCTCCAAAATCTCCTGGTAGACGGCTGCGTTGACCCTGGACTTAATGAAGCACAGTGGACCAACACCAGCAGATGACATGGCTCCCCAAATCAACACAGACTGTGGAAACTTCACACTGGACTTCAAGCATCTTGCAGTGTGTGCCTCTCCATTCTTCCTCCATACTCTGGGTCCTTGGTTTCCAAATGAGATGCAAAATTTGCTCTCATCAGAAAAGAGGACTTTGGACCACTGAGCAACAGACCAGGTCTGTTTTTCTTTAGCCCAGGTAAGACGCTTCTGACGTTGTTTGTTGTTCAGTAGTGGCTTGACAAGAGGAATACGACATTTGAAGCCCATGTCCCAACACTTTTGAATGGCCTTTTCCTGACAATCCTCTTCAGGCTGCGGTCATCCCTGCTGCTTGTGCACCTTTTTTGAGGCTTTCCCTCCTTATGGAGGGTGTCAATTATGGTTTTCTGCACAACTGTCAGGTCAGCAGTCTTTCCCATGATTTTGATTTCTACTGAACCAGACTGAGAGACCATTTAAACGCTCAGGAACCCTTTGTAGGTGTTATGGCTTAATTAGCTGATTAGAGTGGGACACTTTGAGCGTAGAATATTGCACCTTTTCACAATATTCTAATTTTCTGAGATTGTGGATTTGAGGTTTTCATGAGCTGTAAGCCATAATTATCACAATTATGACAAATTACGGCTTGAACTATCTTGCTTTGCATGTAATGAGTCTATCTCATATATTAATTTCACCTTTTAAGTTGCATTAGTGAAATAAATGAACTTTTGCACGATATTCTAATTATTCGAGTTTCACCTGTATAAGGGCGTGCAGGATTAAAGCTAAAATGGATTACATAAAACATGAGTTAACATAAACTTGATATTCTGATTTTACACAGTTGCAATGTTTCCTTAAAGTATATCTGAAGACAAAATATTTTCTTTCATTCTGTATAGATCAGGGAATAGTTAAACCCACAGAGTTTTTCTTATATACATTATGTGTGTCTTTAAAGATATTTCCCCGCACCTCCTGTCCTATAGACACATCAGGAAGTAAAAAGAAATCTCTCCAAAGTGAGGTAAAACTCCTTTAGACAGTTGCCACTGTCCCATTAGAAGTTCTATTCCTGTTCTAGTGGCAACTCCAAACTTTGGACTTCCCATCACTGTAAGTTACTGTGACAATGGTCACTAGGACAAACAGAAAAAGAGAATCTTCTTGGTGGAAACACCGAGAGCAATACAAACATGACAAGGTTTCTAACGCCTCACCTATCTATATAAAAATAAGTTAGGTTTTGATATACTTTAATAAATGGTATTACACGAGGAAAAGGGGCTGTCTGTTGGTTTGTTTTGCATGTTATTAATCAATGAACATAAAAGCTGACATAAAATATTACTCACATGGTAATCACTGAATGAATGGTACAAAGCAGACCCCACACAAAGCTGCCTTGCTAGCTGACGTGTTTCGGAGAATATACCCCCTTCCTCAGAGCTAACAAATTGTAAAATAAGATACAAATAAATAGACTGGGTGAACACCATGTGACCACAAACCAAACCCACTCGATCAGATGCAGCTGATCACCATCTCCTCATTAGTAGGAATTGCACAGAGTGTGGTAGCAGTAGAAAGTGCTGGTACAATACAGTAAAGGAATCGTTAACTGAATAGTTCACTGATCACTCACCCATTGCCAAAATGTAAATCGCCCGCCAAATCGGCGGTGCACGTGAGCACATCATCAACCCACAATGGTAGTTGCACGCAATGTTATGAGCTCCACCTGGCCGTCCCACACATGTAGGAATGGCAGCCGAAGGCATAATAGACCTGCCAATCGAAGGAGGATGTGCTGTGGATGCAAGCACATCCTCCTTCGATCACATCCCCCCCCCGCTCTCCCCCACTTCAGGTGGCAAATACGTGTAGAGTCAGCTCTGTCCTTTTCTGTTATGTTACAAAAATTAACTGAATTAATAAGTTTACCTTTACAAAGACATTTAGTCAAAATGTTTAGAATATTCATTACTTTCTATGGCATTCATTTTCACTGCAAATTGTGTTAAGTAATCAAGACACAGCATATTCTGCTTATTATAACATTTTTAAACAATAACTGACCTTTTCCTCATATGTATAACTCCATATTTTACCATTGGCCCAAATCCTGGAAACCATCTTCCCATTTTGGTCATACTCTATTTTCTCAGACCATGTTCCCCTTTGAATAGACGTAACAAGTCCACTAGGTGAATATGTGATGTTAACTTCATGGTACTTGCTGCTTGGTGACCACAGTATTGGATGCCCAGTCTTATCATACATAATTCTAAGAGTAAATTTTCGATGATCATCATAGATTTTTCCTGTTCTGGTGATGTGATCAAAATCAATGGATAGTAAGTTTCGGTTATGAGCCTAGAAATAACAACAAATACATAAGACATCAGATAAAGTGTTCGGTAAATCAACACACACAAGTTATGGATCGAACAATGTTCTGCACCAAGTTTAATTTTATGAGAAAAGACTGAGAAGCAGACATGGGAGGCAAACCTTGGGGAGCAGGAAAGTGTAAGAATTCAATATGGTGTATGTTTTAGGACATCACTCCTGAACAGTCTTTTTCTACATCAGCCATCATCCAAAACGCTCTCATCAGAAAAGCTACTTTTCTGCTACATTTTTTAATTCATGCTCCATGTTCTTAAGAAATTTTCTACCTCCTGAAATAATTGTTCATTCCACTGCAAACGTATGTGCAACCAGCCTCCTAGCTCCATCATCTAAGAACAAAAATGTACCTGCAACCATCCTCCTACCTCCATCATCTAAGACACAAACATGTACCTGCAACCAGTCTCCTACCTCATTCATCTAAGATGCCAAAATGTACCTGCAACCAGCCTCCTACCTCATTAATCTAAGACAGAAAAATGTACCTGCAACCATCTTCTTACCTCCATCATCTAAGATGCAAAAATGTACCTGCAACCAGCCTCCTACCTCATTCATCTAAGACACATGCTTCTCTCCTCTACAGCCCCTCTACCACATTGTCTGCTTCCAGCCTCTCTTTTCCATATTCAATGCAGTATAGAGAGGAGAGGGAATCACATGGCAGATCATAGTGGTGCAGATCACATGAAACCACTCTTACCTGCATCTAAGCAAAAATGTGCACACTGCCACGTGCAAATTAGAAGTCAGGTTGGTTGTCTAATGAAGTCTTGGACAGCTAGCAATTGGTTCGCTCTTGATACATAAGCCAAGGGAACTCTATAACATTTGATAGTTTTAAAACTGAAACTGAAACACTGGACTGAAACTGAAACATTATTTATTTTCAACTTAAACATAAATGGAAGAATTTTAAAGGTACACTAATGTGTCTTTCTGCAGTTTACAGCCCAATGGTGCTTGAAGAAATGAAGCAATTTCCTATACAATAATACACTAGAGAGGTAACTAGGTTTGAATATCCTTTCTGTTTTTGAAGATGCATTGTATATGCTTAACTCCATTGAGAAACTGCAACTGCAATCTTCTTTTGCAGTGTAAAAACCAACAGGTATAATAATCTAATTTTAATCCTGAAAATCTATCTGCATTTCACAGCTACCCTGAAGATCACTGGAAGCACAAGCTATAAAGCTCCTTCATAAAGAAGGAAAATAAGCAATACGGATGTGCAAAGTGCAGAAATACAGAATTGCCAAAAAGAAGGCATTTTTTACTGACTGAACTATATTAAACTGAGATGTGATTGGTTGCTACATGATACTATTCTACATACAGGTTACCTCGAAGAATTAGAATATCGTGCAAAAGTAATTGCAGTAATTGCTGCAAAAGGGGCCCAAACCAAGTACTGAGTACATATGCATGCTTGTACTTATCAGAGGTCCGATATTGTTCTATGTACAATCCTTGTTTTATTGATTGCATGTAATAATCTACTTTTTTGAGGTTGTGGATTTGGGGTTCTTGGGGTTTTCATGAGCTGTAAGCCATAATCATCACAATTATGACAAATCACGGCTTGAATTATCCTGCTTTGCATGTAATGAGTCTATCTCATATATTAGTTTCACCTTTTAAGTTGCATTAGTGAAATAAATGGACTTTGCACAATATTCTAATTATTCGAGTTTCACCTGTACATTCATAGTATACTGGAAACCAGGTATGTTTCTTAATAATCTTACCATGACACATGTTGCCTTAAAGGCAATCACTTCATGAACAGATTTCTTAGTAGCAATGTCTGTCATGGTATTTTGCTACACATAACCTACCACCTTCAGTATAATCTTTTAAAATAAATCTGATCACAGGTATTACTATATTTTTAAGTATAAAAGGAGCACACAATGTAGCTAAAACGATAGGGGTGTCACCACAATAGTTGTAGGCGGGAAATGCCCTGATGGCATTTATTTTGGTGAAAACTGTCAGTTAGGATTTTCCCTCACTGGATATTTATTCTCTCTTCCTGAATATTCCCAACAGAGATACAGAGAGCAATAACAACCTGAAAGAGGTTCTACTCCATCACTACTGTACCCAAAATGAAAAAAAGTGTCAGGTGAAATTGCCCATTCCTGTTTGATGATATGTATGTACTTCTAAAATATGCTTTATTTTGTGGCTCCAGGACAGTGTGACTGCTTTATTATTTTGTTTATTATTTCAATAAATCAAAGTTCTCCTCTTGTTTGAAGCATGCAGCACTACATCTTGTGTGCCATTGGCTGCAATCATAACCATTCAAGGCAAAATACCGAGTTAAATTAACCTTATTTTCCACTCCCTCTACCATTACCCTATTTTGCCAAGAGTCACTGTCACATGTTTGAGTTTACTTGGGGCAAAGGACACACCCCCTATTGCTATATGACAGCCCTCATACAAGTAATTGGTTGCTTGGGAGTAGTGCACCAAGCAACCAAAAGAGAGTCGCATGTCCCTTCATACCCAGAAGTGCCTGTTTTTCCAAGGGAAGGTATGAGCTAGCAGCTGAGTGGGAGCCTGTTCCTTTGCAATGGATGCTTAAAGTTTGCTTAAAGGACTCTGACATATCTGAGATATGAGAGAATAATGAAGGCTACCACTGCTGACCTCTCGTATGAGAATGTTAGTTCCCTGGCTGACATTCTGATGCTTTGACTTCAGAATTATCTGAGTCACTGAAGCAGAACAAGCATAGACATAAGGTTTCCTGACACTCATTTAGCATATGCTCGTTCCAGGCTAGAGACCTAAAAGCATAGGAGTGCACACAGGGTGTAATGGGGGTGTCTGGGCACACCCTAATCACCCCGAGCGCAACAGTGAATTTGCAACAGCAGGCACTGTCTTTTTAATCACTGAACCAGTGGAGAGATCACAAAGATCTCTCTGAAACTAGCTCAGCAATACAGAGCACAGCAGCACTTACCACTTCCATTCCTCACATAACAGCCGCAGCCCTCAGTGCCTGGGAAGTTGTGGGGGAGCATGGCTGTGGCATCCCAGGCTTCCTATACAATCAGGAAGTTGGGTGGGTGATCACATGATCACCTACCAGTCTCCCTGCTTCATTACTGTACACCTGCTGGAAGAGGTAAGGGACAGTTGAAGAGATGGGAATCTGGGATGCCTCAGGTCTGTGTATATATGTATTATGATGGGAAGGGAGCACAGGAGGAGACACGTTTCCAACACTGTATCGACAAGAATTCGGAGCATAGGCCTACATTTAAACTGAAGTAGAAACCCCTTTATAACTAACCTTTGGCATAACTTTCAAAATGGCAGCCACATAGTGGTGGATATACATACCACCAGTCCCCTGTCAGCTGTCATTTTATGAAACTTTCCTTCCTTTAAAAATGTGTCCCTCTTTCTCATCTTAGAAAGTTGGGAGGTATAGTGGTGTAATCTATTACAAAAGTCAACCTTTCCCTGTAAGTTCCCTGTGGACTGGAGAAGCATTCCGTATCTACTAGCAGATTAATAGTTAGAGTTCTGAATCAAGTTTGATATTTTCATGGGCAAAACAAAACCTGGAAATATGTGAGGATATCATGCACATGTGAGAGCTGTGCAATTATGAAATATCACAGAAGAGAGTGACTACCTTGTTTCCTGATCCTTTCTGTGATAAGATATTCTTGTAATACATGGTTTCAGTCAAAAATAAAGTAAAAATATTTTTCCAAATTGCTCATAAGACTGAAATGGGCCAGCTTTCCTTTCTGCTGATAAACACAGCACTTTCAATTTCCTGCAAACATTTGCATAACTCATTTGTAAAACTTGTAAAAACAAGTCTTTATACCCACTCTTGTAACAGTTACAATTTATGATCCAATTACATTCTGAGATGTTAAGTTTTAGGAATTCACTACTCAACAGCATGTGTTAATATACATTCATATATATGCATAAGCCACAGATACAATTTATCATAAAATGATAGGTCTGGACCAGAAAGCACTGTAGGGACATAAATCTAATCCTTGACATTTGTACTCTTTTATGCTGCAAATAATAAGCTACATCATAAACTGTCTGATTGGTGATATTATGAGCACTGACCTCTGGGAAGATACAGAAATACAAGCACTACATAGTGCTGAATCTATGAGAAGTCTACTGATAATATCCATGATTGAGAAGAAAGGACTTATTAAAAAGGAGTGTGTCAAGTATTTCGTTATAGGTCTCAGCATCACTGTTGTTGCATAATATATGGCTGCTATCAGAGATGATGGAATCAATTAGTAAACCCCCATAGTAGGAGATGATTTTAACCTCAGTCAGTATTTTTTTACCATCTGTGTTTTAATAGGGAGCTTTCACTTGCTGGCTTGTAAACTAAACAGTAAGTGAGAAGGTATCTTTCCAATGTGAAATCCCCTCTTAGACAGCTGTCATGGGAAGAAGTGTCCCCATTGGAAGATTTCCTTTCTATTTCTCTTCTGGTGGCAAATACAAATTTTGAATATACCCTCAGTTTTGTTCCAGATGGCTTTGGTGATCAGGACAAAGAAAGTAAATTCTTTTTCAGGACAAGATAAAGTAAATGTCCCTAAAAGGGACACAAACAGCAATACAACCCTAACAATGGTTCTGTTGCCTCACCACTCTATCCTTAGCCCCCAAAAGTTTTGCTTTTAGTTATACTTTAAAGCTTCTATGAGATTTTAGTGATAGAGTTTACATACAGTATACTCTAATGCAGGGCTCAAAATTTCAAGTCCTGAGTTACTAGCCAGGCCTTAAAAGTTACTCGCCACCAGTTGTCCCACCTAACCCCTACCCTGCCCCGGCCTTAACTCCGCCAGGTCATCAGTGTGACACAGAGTACAGAGATCAGTAACAACACACAGTACAGAGGCCAGCAGGGTGACACACAGTACAAAGGCCAGTGG